GGGTGAGGGGCCGCAGGGGAGCGGCCGCGTTGCTGCGGCGGTGACAGGTTGCCGGGTGGAAGCGGGGGCTGTGTGTGCGGCCCCTCGGGCTCCCGGGGGGCCGATACCGGGCTGGGGTGGGTGGCGGGGAGCCGGCTGGAAGGCGGTGGGACTGTAAAAGCTGGGTCCTGGGTTGTGTTGCTGAGGGTGGCGGCATCCAAGACCCTTTTCCTTGGTCTGTTCCATCCGCGTGCTGATGGCAGAGGCGTTTTTAATTCTGTTTGTAACTCTCCCTAGCAGTACAGAATTAAGTTATGTACCGCTCCCTCCTTACTTCCATACTGTCCCTCTGTTAAGCAGGAGCTTATCAAAACTCGGGCGTAGAGTGTAGCTTTGTACTATTTTTAGTAGTAAAATCTTATCTCATTAGAAAAAGTCTACTTCTTTGTGAAACTGTGACTTTTCTCCCCTTTACCCCAGATACTTACGGACCTTTCAGCTGTCACTTAAAGATTTACTGTGGTTTTTTTACTCTCCTTAAGTTTTCATGAAAATGCAATAAATTCATTGCAGAACTATACTAATTACTGGTGAAGACTGAACTTCTGGAAAGCCTTATTCCTTAGACTATGGGGTAACTATTGAGACTGTTGCTATGTTTTCTCTACTACTTCTACAGGTTGTGTTAGAGGAGATTATTTAGGATAAGCACAAGCAGCACTAGCACATAGTGTTGTTTAACAGTTGAATGACACTACAGCTAATATATATATGGGAAAAGTGGAGCAAAATACCTCTAATTGCTTACAGTAGTAAGAATTTTATGTGGTTGTTTGTTTTTTTTTTTTTTTTTTTCCTGAAAAGGAAAATGTGTGTGTGAGATCTGCAAATTCCAGTGGAGAAGAGAGGAACAGCTTGCAGAAAGTATTTGCTCTTGTGTACCCCTGAGGGCATGGGATAGGTTTCTCTCTAGAAATGTAACCCCATAACAATACTGTAAAGAACTCTTTACATGTCTTAAGAGATCATGTACAAGAGGTGGTTTATGTGGGCAGGGCATTCTGAGAAGGGGTTAAAGAGGAAAAAAGGATCTGCTTTATCCAAGTATTTTTCCTTAGGAAATATGCACAGCAGACCTGTTTTGCTGTGAGGGTGTACACGAGAGAAGCTTCTTGAAAAGCAAAGAAAAGAAGTTTGAGTGGAGACAATGATTTTAGCAGAGGACTCTTGATGTTTGAAGACTTTATTTTGGTAGCTGTATACACGTGTATGTGTATACAGATGTGGAAGACTTCTGTTCTTCCCACTAAAAGAGTCCAAAGACTTTTAAGGTCAGTCCTTTGGAGCCTCCCTGTGAAAGGCCTACTTCGACTCCTTCCTTCTAACACCTCAAGGGTGTGGTCTGACTGCATCAGCGTAAACAGTACAAAAATGTTACATGAATGACACCTTTGTAAAACAAAGTATTTTTATAGCTACCTAATAGCACTTGTGACATTTAACTGAAGTGAATTCTAGCCCTTAATATCTTGTGTATCAAAGTCACCTTTGAGACATCGGTATATTGGAAAACATTTAATAAATTTGCATGAGAATTACTTTCATAGATTATTTTGTATTTTGCTAACATAGGCAAATAATATAATTGATGTCTTCAGACTTTAATGTGCTTGGAGTCCTTACCTTTTTGCAAGGGCTCATAGCTAGTGAGTTGTCCTTAACTTCTTTTGCCCCTCTCATGTGGAAATTGGTAAACAGGACCTGAGAAAGGACAGTGCAAAAACACTGGGCTGAAGATTCAACTCATTGCCATTTTTCTAATCTAATGCTTAGCACTTCTGTTTAGCTTTTATGCAGAACTGGTTCTGTTTAGAATAGAACCAAAATTACTTTTTAGAGTGCTTTACACTTCTGGCACTGGAGAAAATCTGATGTTGAAAGAAGGCTGTATTTACAGAATGAGCATGAAAGATGGCTTTTGATATTTCAGTCTTGAAACTCTTGTGAAAGAGAGCTGTCAGACTGTTTGAAATAATGTAGAAGGAAGTGATAAATACATCATGAAATCAAGACTAAACTGATATGGATTTTATCAGTGTGGATTAGTTTTCTAACCACTGAACTAAATGTATGGAAAGTTTCTCTGCCATCTGTGCCCTCATAAGTTGTTAATCTATGAACCCACCATTTTTAAGTCATGGAAGTTATCTGTACAATGGGAGCTCCTTTTCTGTGACATTATTTTCAGCATTCTGTTATTCCAAGGAAATGTTTTTTCCCCTTGTTTATGAGCACAGAAGTGTTGGGCTGATGGAATAGCAAGTACCGTATCATTTGCCCTCAGGGAAGAGAATTAAAGTGGTCACCAATCTGTGGAGATGAATGTAGCCCTAAACTTCCGGATTTCAGATTTGAGTACTTACAAGCACCCTTAAAGCATATCACAGGTAGAGTTTTCTGGTTTTCTCCTTGCTCCCAGGAGTAGCTGTTTAGATTGTGTAGGCAAACCATGCAGTGCCATCTACAATGGGCAAGTCTTAGTTCTGGAAGAAAAACTTAAGAGTTCGTTGAGTAAAAAATGTCAGTCTTGTTCTGAAACACTCTGTATGTGTTTTAATTTTCTAGTTACTTTGTCCCAAACTTGCATTGGTGGTTCTTGCATGACTGTTGCAGTGCTGTGACCTATTTCATAGGTGCTAACCTTGCTGGAGCTGTTCAAGCTGCCTTGAGAAACTGTTCCAACTTTCTGCAGCTGCTAGGTCTTGATCACAGGTCATTCCTTTTGAGCTCCTGTCTCCCTCCAGTTTGTGCCAGCACTGCTGCTTGAATATTGAAGTGGATAGATAAGCTGGACTGAAATCTGACTGAGAACATGTTTTTCCCACCCCTTGTGAGTATCTTCTCAGCAGGATGTCTTCTCTGGTCTGGTTCACTGTGTGACTATACAGATTTTTGGGACTGGCAGAAAGGAGAAAGTATGCGGGTGTAGGAGTGATTTAGTTTTTTTTTTAAAAAGAAAGCCTTAGGTTGATGAGTGTTTGTAGTTTGTGTGCTGTGTTGGCAAATACAAAAAATGAATTTTCTCTTCTTGCTCTTAGAATTGGTTCTCAAACCTGGTAAGAGTGAAAGAACTGTTACGTACAGTACACCTTACAGAACCTTTTACTACATCTTTGCAGTTGGCTTCAGGAGGAACTTCTTAAAGATACAAGTGCTTGGCTGTTCAGCACTCTTTCAGAGAGTACAAAGAAAGGGAAAGTGCTTCACTGGAGGAAAAAAAATACAGAAATGTAATGTTTGCTTTCCTGTTTACAAGATTTGTACAATCTTGTATTAATAAGATCTGTTTTAAGCCTTATAGATGAAAAGTCTTGCAGACACTGCTTCCTATATGCTTTATACATACTCTATCAGTAGAGGTCTATAAATGGGATTGGGATGTCCAGTAAGTTCAAATAAAGAAAAATTTGGGAACAGTTGTTTAACCAAAATATGGAAGAAAGTGGCATTTTCTTCATGTTTACAATTATTCAGGAATATTTATGGCTAATGGGAAATACACAGCAAATATAAAGGGGTTATTTTCATGCTGTCTTAAAACTTGAATCTCAGTAAATCTTAGCAGGATTGCTAGTGGAGGATGGAAAAGTTAGAATTTGTGGCTTGTGAAAATAAGTGTGCTACTCTAGCTGTTACTATTGGGCATTGCATACTGTATTTCCTAGTAATGCTAAAGTATACATTCCTTCCCATATTAGACTTCTTAAAGCAAACATTGGTATATGATGCCTTTCCTGCCTGGAATCTGGAACTGTGCATCTCCATTTCAATACCGAGACCTTTTTCTGCCTGTAAGGCTCAGTATCACTGGGTTATTTACAAGATGACCAGTATGGCAGAGAAATATCTTTTCTCGATAAGGGACATATAAACCTTTACAAATGCACATGTAAGCCATCTCTGAATAGCAAGCTAATTTTCTGTTTTGCTGTTGTGTGGTGTGTCCTTAAACCACCTGAAGAGGTTTCCTAGGGCTACACTGGGTCCCTGTGAGGTTCTCTGCTAGACCTCAAAGGAGCAGTGTGTGATGTGTGTTCCGTTCTACAAATTACTGTGTAGCTGGATTTTTAATTTTATAACTGTTACGGCTGGTAGGGTTTGAGCTCAGTTTGGCTATTGTGCAATTAACAGATAAAACGGGATGGTTTTCCAAAATACGGTACTAACGCTAGCTGTTATTTCAGGGTTCTTTAGAGGTGGGAAACTCCAAGCCAAACTCAGAAGTCCGGAGTTGAGCTCTCATAAAAGAATAGTCTGCACTTTTGAACTTTAAAGAGTTAAAACCTTTATCAAATTGAAGTAACAAGTGATGACAAAAATAGGTTATACTCAATGACTCTACTGCTCTCTCCTAGTTGTGCAAGATACAAAAAAGTCACTAGGTCAAGCTGAGCTCTCTGGGCTCTCTTCTGAGCTGAAATATGTTTTTATGTAAGGTATAATAGAACACATGTGGTTTTGGGGAGGCAGCTGGTTAAAAATGTAGCTTGAGGGTTAGATTGACTTGGCTGGGTTAGTGTTTGGAGAGTTCTTTGCAGGTTTTGGTGCAGCTTTTAATGAACCTACCTGTA